TTGCGGATCATTACATGAAGAACAACTGTTTCGAGTTAGTTCATAAATTATATATTTATGTATATTTGTGTTTTACATGTAGGTTTTGCTTAATTCCATCTCCGCCTTTAATTTATTATGATTATTAGTAGTAAATATATAATATGTCTTTGTTTATTATTATTTAGCTTTGCGATTGATTTCTACTTAAAAGATTTGCGTGTATCACCAAGACGCGTCGACTCATGGGCCGCCTTAGGGCTCATATACTGCAGTCAGCTCGAACAGATTCTTAATCTGGTAAGCTATCCTCCCATAGGTATTACTTAACGTTTTTAGCCGCTGCTAATATATATCTTTGAGTCTACGCTGATTTTTACTTTGCTTGGGCTTATCGTAGCATGACAATATCTCAACTTGCATTTTTTTAGTACTTTACTCGAAAACAGTATATGAAAATACGATTTTAAGGAGCATATAATGGAAATTTGGAGGCAACACAATTGGATATTTATACGAGGTATCTTCATTTCATTTCGTTTAAGGTGATAGGGGGAATGGTAGTCTTTAAAGCAAAAAATCATTAGATATTATTTCTCCTTAAAGATATAGTCGATATATTATATCAGAATATTAATTTACTTTTTATTCTATCACTCCAATCTTGCCATGTTCATCTAGTTCGATTTTTTTACATTTTTTAGCTTATACATAATGGTTTATATTTTCTCTGGCTCGCATTTTTCTCTAACCCTTTTCTTAGACGGATCTAAAAACAGAGCGCGTTACTCCAGATGCAGTGACCCGATGTTTACGATGTTTTGCCTTTGCTCTCCGACTTGCGCCTGAAACCGTCACTCTACTAATTGAACGTGGTTGCCTCGCCTACCAGCTCCATTCATATGCTGCCAGATTCGTGAAAAAGGTGGGTCTAGATGACCTTGCTTAAACATGGGTTATATATGCATCTTATTTGAAGTGGCATCCTGGCACCTTTGCATTCGTCATTAATAAACTTTCGAAAAATAGCCGTCTAGATTCAAAACTATCTGGATCACAATATAGTTAGCAAGGATATTTTTCCTTGTCTTAATTTCTTAAATTCTTTCCAATTTCAGTCGAGATATCGTAGCTATCCGGAATCATTTGTGAATCTTTGTCACATCTGGCGTTTACAAATGTTAATGTTGGCTCGTGAATCATACCTCTCTGCTCTACGCTGTGAGGGTTTTCGTGTTCGTGATTTGCTACTTACTGTAGAGGCCCGAATGGGATGGACTCGTGCTCGAATTCAATCGCAGGACTCGGCCAACCAATCATCTAAGGGACAAGAACATGCCAAAACTCAGCTCATTTGGAGTACTGAGGATGCTGATGATGAGAAGAAGCAAGATGAAGAGGAGGGTGAGGATGAATGGCTTAATTATCATCCTGAAGAGGAATGGCTCTGCTTTTATATGCTAGCCAAATGTGCGGAGAAGGCTGGGCCCGCTTGGGGCTTTGGTCTTGTTGGAGAAGCCAAGCGGGCTCTTGCTTCTGGGGTCCACCAAACAGGCTGCTTAACAGGCCTTTCACGCAAGCGCCAAGCCTCCGCAGCTCAACGTCTTCAACTGACCAGGAAGCAGGAACCGGCCGCTTCAACTAATGTCTACTTTATGCCCAGTCCTGGTCTCACAGCTGCAGAAGCGATTGAGGCGGCCTCACGACACGCACCTTTGTCATCACCTCTACATTGCTTGGGCCCCAGCAGGCTGAAAAAAGACGGTGAAAGCTATTGGACTGTCGAAGACGATTGGGGCGGTGAGACGATTGGCGAGTGGGTTATGCGCGTTCTCGGCCACTATCGGCGGGCTGCGGATGCCCTGGATGCGGCTGGAGCAAAGTATCCAAAAAAGATTGTTCTATATCACAAATTACCTTTTCGTGCGGTTGAAGCTGTAGAAGTGAGTTCTTTAATTATCTTTTTTTTCATTTGTTTGCCTTAGAACTCTCCAGCCATTCTTCAATATAACTGAATTTAGCGACCCCACATCGAAGCTTATTTATTAGTTACACAATGCTCATAATAGATTGGCTTAGAATGAATAATTATTTTTAATATTTATTCAACTTCAAACTATTTTCCTCAGACAATAAAGCGTTTGGGGGACAATGTAAAACTAATTATTCAATGGTCCCACTGAATATTTTCTTTTTACTTACCTTCTAATAATATAAAGTTATAAATACAAAGAGTAACTTGTTTCGATGAATCTGCCGAAATAACATTGTTAGTGAGACTTTCAATTAGTACGAAAGTGCATGAAGAGGAGATTCGTAGGTTGATCTCACCAAAGGTGATTGTTGAATCTTGTACTACTGCTGTCTTGCTTTAATACGACGTTCGGGTGGATACAGTCCACGAAACAGCCTCTCTCATCGGGTGAAGACGAGCTGAACCTTCGTCCATCATATGGTGAACATCATCAGAGCTGTAACTCATTCTTATAAAAGTCTCTCGTTAACACTAGGTTAAGGAAAATATCCTATTTTATCGTGCCTTTGATATATACTGATAC